CCCCCCCCCCCCCCCCCCCCGGTCACTGACTGGTCTCTGGGGGGCATGTGCCTCCCCTGACTAAGGCAGTACCAGTTGCCCATGATCTAGTTCAACCCTCTGCCTGAAGTAGGATCGTCCCTATCCAAACCATCCCATAGAACCATAATCTAAACTCAACATAAAATTACCATTAACAACATAGACCTGACACCCTAACTTGCCACAGGTAAGGCAGGTGAACCATGACAGCCAATGTCCAGCTTCTATACCATGTCAGTATATGATCAAGCGGTCCCAGATAGAGAGTCACATCCCTTTCCACAGAGGAAGGCAAAAATCCCACAGTTCATACCAATCTGACCATGGGGTAAATTTCCTTCCTGACCCCAAATATAGTGATTGGGCTGACCCTGAGCAGAGGTGAAAGACACTCTAGCCTAGAACCTCTGGCTTTGCTCCTAGCAAGAGAATCGGCACACCCTAGTTGAAGTCCCTACCCTTGGCTGTAGCCAACGCCCAATGCCTCTGGGAAGGCTTAAAAACACCCTGATACATATAGAAGAACAATGGGGTGGGGATGGAAGCAACCAGCAATGCCCAGAAGCATTGGAAATACCCATCGTAGAAAATGGGCATAGCCACCATACCTAGATCATCCCTGACCACTGACTGTCCAATTTCTTTGAACACCTCCAGTGTTGGAGAGGCCACAACTTCCCTAGGCAGTCTATTCTACTGTCCCACTATTCTAACAGTAAAGAAGGTTTTCCAGATATCCAGACCAAATATACTTTGCTGCAACTTCAAACCATTGGTCTGCACCTTCCTATCTGTAGCAAGTGAGAAAAGGTGCTTTCCACTTTCTTTATGGCAGCCCTTCAGGTATTTGAAGACTGCTATCGTGTCCCATCTTAAGTACCTTGTCCACAAGCTGAAGCTGCCTAGCTCCTTTAGCCTTTCCTCATATGACTTGCCTTCCAAGCCTTTAATCATTTTTGTTGCCTGCCTCTGAACCCTCTCTAACTTCACATCCTTTTTAAAATGCAGAGCCTAGAACTGCACACACTACCCAAATGAGGCCTCAACAGTGCTGAGTAGAGAGGTACTATCACTTCCCATGGCTTGCACCTAATTCTTCTATTGGTGCAACCCAAAAATGTAGATTTGTATTGAAACTGTGATTTACCAAGATTCCCAAGTCATTTTCCAAAGAGCTGCCATCCAGTCCCTTATTTTGTATTTCCATTTTTAATTATTCCTTCCAAGGTGTAGCACCTTGCATTTATCCACATTGAACGTCATCCTGTTAGCTCTAGCCCAACTTTCTAATTTGTTGCGATCCTTCTGAATTGTGCTCACATCTTCTAAAGTGTTCACAGTCCCTCCCAGTCTCATGTTGTCCTCAAACTTGCTCAAGAAGTTTTCTGTGCACCCAAATCATTAATAAACGCATTGAACAGCACTGGGCTGAGGACAGACCCCTGTGAGACTCCACTTGAAACCTTCTGCCATTTTGACATGGACTCATTAATAATTATCGTTTGCTTGTGGCTATTGAGACAGTTATCTTTTCACCCTATAGTAGTTTTATCTAATGCACATTTCTCCAATTTGTTTATGAGAAGGTCATACAGGACCTTGTCAAAAGCCTTGCTGAAGTCCAGATACAGGATATCCACAGTATTATCTTCTCCCACCCAAGTAGTTGCCACAGGGCACTTGGGGTGCCTGCCACTTTAAGAGGTTAGGCAGCCTATGGGGCCACTAGCAGGTGGGTGTCAGGGCTAATTGTGGAGTCAGCTGACCCAGGGAGCCAGCAGATGAGGCTAGGTCTGACAGAGGGAGTCACCTGATTGGAGGAGGGCTGGGCTTAGCCAGGGTATAAGCCCAGACCCTAAGAGTAGGGCTGGCAGTAACATCTGGAGAGCTGGTAAAGGAACACCATCCAGCAGGAAGGCTGCACCCTTGAATGCCATCAAAGAGAATCTTTTATTAGACCAACTGACTAGTTGGAAAAAAGTTATTTACAAGCTTTCGGGTATAAGCACCCTTCTTCAGGCATATGGAGCCTCTGCCATTCTGAGATCTCCAAGGAATGAAAGAAGCTAAAAGTGTGACAGGATGTCAGTGAGAATGTAAATAGGTGGAAATTAGGAAAACAGAGGATAGAGAAGGGAAGGAAGGGGTGGGGAAAATGAGGGGGAAATAATACCAAAGGTAAGTAAGGGAGACACTATTGTAGTTGAGTTCTCCAAGGCAG